ATCAAGGGACATATCTTCACTTAATTTTGACCTTCCTCTTTCCACGCAGCATTAGGCTCAATACAGACAATGTCACCATATTGATCGATCACAAATGCAAATGGTCAATAATTCAAGTAAGAATTTTTCTCCTATACTTCCACAATCGTATGAATTAGCTCATTCATTAGTTTGTACCTTGCATTTTAACTACACTTATTGACAACCAAGATGTTCCTCAGTTGCAACATTATGTCCCATAAATCAAGGCTGCTGTTGCAGCCATCTAACAAAAATTTTATCTCGACTGTCACAAGTATAGCACTCATCCTTGAACCTTTTTAAAATATACGAGCAACATAATCACTAATCTCTCCATCCTCATGTATAATCGAACTTCCGTAGCAAAATCATTCACTCTTTCGTATCCCTTCTCACTTGTGTGCACCTATCACTCGAATACCTTTCTTCGACTTAACCGTCATTAGAATTGTTACCATTTCAGCATCCCATCCCAAATTTTCATTCAACAAATTCACCACTCAGCTTAAAATATTTGACATTTTTCACAAATCAGACCCAAAAAATGTTCTTTAAAAAAATTTACAAGATAATATATATACATATGTCTATGTATAGCCCTAATTGAATTGTGAAAAGAAAGGACAGATGAATGGAAACCCTAGACCTGACGAAGAGCGACGAAATTGAGGAGCATCTGAGTGACGACCTCACGGAGTTGGGATTTGGGTTTGGATTCTCGCTTGATGGAGAGCATCTTGGTCACGATCTCCTCCACTGAAGTCCTGCTCTGCTGCAGCATATCGTACGCCGACTTCTGTAACGTGGGCTGTGGTGGTGCTAACTCTCCAAATTCCTCAGAACAAGCCACCGCCTCTCCTTCTTCCATGCTCACCTCCATTTTGGCCCCGTTCTCTCTCACCTGCGGCTTCCTTCCTGTTTCCACCCCTCTATGTATGTATGCCTCCGTTCTCTCTTTTCTTTCTGTTTATTTGGCTTTAAATCACATTTAAGTACGCATAAATTTCAATTAATTATTTTTATTTTGGTTAATAAAAATAAAAAAGTTCAAATAATTAATAAAATAAAACAATATGGCCTTGTTTGGTTTGTTTTAAAAAAAAAAATTTAGAAAAAATTTTCTATAAATAAATTTTCAAGAGTAATCAAACCAAACAAATATTTCCAAAAAAAAATCTCAAAATTTTGTTTGGTTACTTACTTTCCAAAATCACTCTCTCTCTTATACACATCAAATCAATAACTTTTTTTAAAACTCTCTTCCTAAAACAATTTTTCAAAACAATTTTTGAAAAAAGACAAATCAAACAAATTTTCGTACTTTTTATCTCAAAAATTACTCTACAAACAAGTTTTCTCTTACAATTATTTATTTAACTACAAAAAAAAATTTATAAATCATTTCAAACATAAATGTTTTTCATCTCATAAAAGTAAAAATATCAATTAAAATAATCAAGTTTTCAAACCAGACATTTATCCAAATACTCTTTTCTTTTTTTTTTAACCAAAAAAAAAAAATGAGATTCTATTGACTTTTGAACCAAAATAAAAAATAAAATAAAAAATCTATTTTCGTTTAATATCGAATGAGACTCAAATTGAATCTAAAAAAATAATAATTCTTATCACTTAAATAGTACACTATGCCTCCGTTTGGCAAGGGCTTTTCAGGTTTTTTTGGCTATTTTAGCCACAAAAAACAAAATAGGCTATTTTAGCCATAACAAACAAAACATCACATCCAACCCATAATCATTACATTCTTCTCTCATAAAAAAAGTCAAAAAAGCCAAAAAGCCCTTCCCAAACCAAGCTTTTTACCCCAGGCTAAAATAGCCAAAAAAGCCAAAAAGCCAAAAAACCAACCCACTTCCCAAACGGAGGCATAATAAATTTATTTTATTTTTACTTATTTAAATTATACATATATTGCATGTATTAACATGAAAATATCGAATGAGACTCAAATTGAATCTAGAAAAATAATAATTCTTATCACTTAAATAGTACACAATGCATAATAAATATTTTATTTTATTTTTACTGATTTAAATTATACATATATTGCATGTATTAACAACTAATATACACATTAACGAGACCTTTTCAAATTTATTGTTTTTGTAAATAAAAATTATTATATTAAACATTATTTTTTATTTAAAAATAATTAAAGGATTATATTTGAAACACACAATAAAAATTTTATGTTTTTCAAAAAATAAACAAAAACCAGTTTATAAAATTTTTGTAAATATAAACTGAAAACGTAAACGTTACCAAACACACCCTTAATAAAATAAAACAATATGGCCTTGTTTGGTTTGTTTTAAAAAAAAAATTTAAAAAAAATTCTCTATAAACAAATTTTCAAGAATAATCAAACCAAACAAATATTTCCAAAAAAAAATCTCAAAATTTTGTTTGGTTACTTACTTTCCAAAATCACTCTCTCTCTTATACACATCAAATCAATAACTTTTTTTAAAACTCTCTTCCCCAAACAATTTTTGAAAAAAGACAAATCAAATAAATTTTCGTACTTTTTATCTCAAAAATTACTCTACAAACAAGTTTTCTCTTACAATTATTTATTTAACTACAAAAAAAATTTATAAATCATTTCAAACATAAATGTTTTTCATCTCATAAAAGTAAAAATATCAATTAAAATAATCAAGTTTTTTCATCTCATAAAAGTAAAAATATCAATTAAAATAATCAAGTTTTCAAACCAGACATTTACCCAAATACTCTTTTTTTTTTTTTTTAACCAAAAAAAAAAATGAGATTCTATTGACTTTTGAACCAAAATAAAAAATAAAATAAAAAATCTATTTTCGTTTAATATCGAATGAGACTCAAATTGAATCTAAAAAAATACTAATAATTCTTATCACTTAAATAGTACACTATGCCTCCGTTTGGCAAGGGCTTTTCAGGTTTTTTTGGCTATTTTAGCCACAAAAAACAAAATAGGCTATTTTAGCCATAACAAACAAAACATCACATCCAACCCATAATCATTACATTCTTCTCTCATAAAAAAAGTCAAAAAAGCCAAAAAGCCCTTCCCAAACCAAGCTTTTTACCCCAGGCTAAAATAGCCAAAAAAGCCAAAAAGCCAAAAAACCAACCCACTTCCCAAACGGAGGCATAATAAATTTATTTTATTTTTACTTATTTAAATTATACATATATTGCATGTATTAACATGAAAATATCGAATGAGACTCAAATTGAATCTAGAAAAATAATAATTCTTATCACTTAAATAGTACACAATGCATAATAAATATTTTATTTTATTTTTACTGATTTAAATTATACATATATTGCATGTATTAACAACTAATATACACATTAACGAGACCTTTTCAAATTTATTGTTTTTGTAAATAAAAATTATTATATTAAACATTATTTTTTATTTAAAAATAATTAAAGGATTATATTTGAAACACACAATAAAAATGTAAGATTAATAAAAATAGAATTAAATAAAATAAATTTTAATTCAACATAAATTTAAAAAAGGATTAATTACTTAAAGTCCTAATGACAGTAGGTGTGGTAGCTCAATTCCTGTGCAATAGTTTTTGGACGCATAAGTCCCATTTTGGAATGCAATTGACGTTAATGCCCTTTTGAATCTAATGTATTAGAGATGCAACTTCAAAGAAAGAAGAGGACTTTGAACGTCCTTAAGAAATTTTACGACTAGGAAGAGGAGCAAAGCCTGCATCTTCATGGATCTTTTCAAACTCTTGATAATGATGATCGTTTGGATTATCCGAAGATTTTTAAATTGGAGGTTTGCGATGCCTCAACCTTTTACACTTTCGTTCTAATCTATTCTCTTCCTTGATCACTTCAATTTGCAACAACTTTGTGTGTGTGTGTAACTCCACTCCTTAAAATGCTTGATTGCTCAATTTCAAGGTTCATAACAGAGCATATTAAATCGACTAAAGAGATGGGCAAGGAGATCTGGTTTGTAGGTAAAAACTGAGATATTCTCAATTCCAAAACTGAGAATGTTCTCAATTTAAAATTAAGAATGATTTCAGTTTGCAAAAAATATCCAGTAAAACTGATAAGTTTTTTAATTTTTTTGGTGTTAAAAACTGATAATATTATTATTTTTCCAATTTTAAATTAATAATATTTTCAATTTTAAAAATAGAAAATTTTGAGAAATTTCTCAGTTTTACACAACCATTGTTTATGAAAATTTCTTAGTTTTTGCACAACCATTGAAAATCGTTTGGTGAGAATGAACTACTTCTTTCGAGAAGACATGGTCTTGGAGGTGTAGTTTAATGTGATCGAGTCCCCACTCATTTAAAAAACAAACCCAGCTGAACCTAGAATCATCATTTTTCACCAAGCTCTTGTAGTCACCAATGGCGGATGATGAGGAGATTAGGTCTAAAACCACATCATCCATGATGAGGATGAACTTAGGATGTGGTATATTTGGTGGGTACAAATAGATAACTTTGAGGACTAGTGATCGAATATGGAAATCAAGAAGACGAGCTTTGATTTGGCATGGTGGAGAAGAACGATGATGGTGTGGGAGTCGATGTAGGTGTTGACGGTGTTGAGATAGATAAGGAGAGAACCGAAGTCAAAAAGCTTGGGCTCTATTTTTTATATGTGAGAAGGAGAGTTTGAAACTAAAAAAAAAAAAAAGTCCGTGCAAAGGCTGAGATTCAACAACCAAGATCCAACGGCTTAAAAAAAAAAAAGAGAAAACAAATGAAAGAGAAGGGGATGTTTGGTTGTAGTTGTTGGGGAGTGGCTGTAAAAATAAGAGAGAGAGAATGAAGATAACAACTTACATTCACACCAAGCATGCAGTTAGACATATGGCATTGATGGAGGAGGTCTTAGAATGGTAAATTAGTCTATCAAAAATTAATGGGACAAAGGAGCAAATAATCTTATCTAGAACTTAATGGATTATAAGTTCACAATATGGAACTTATATGTAAATGGCCCATTAAAAAATAATTATAATGAATTTTTAAAATTAGTGATAATTTTTTTTATTATTTTTTTTATTTTTTATTTTTTAGAGGGTAGAGGGAAGGCCCCTACGAAAAAGGAACATCATTCAACAGAATATGCACCAAATTGGCAGGGACCTCAGCAAGCCACACCCGCTTGTTCGGAGCTTCCTTTGCCATTTGGGCCAAGTGATGAGCCATAAGGTTGCCATTGCGCCTCACATGCGAGACACGAAAATGTAAGAATTGCTTGGAACAGGAAATGGCACATTGTAAAAAATGACCAAAAGAAGCACATAAATTACTCTCTTCTCGGATAGCCTTCACCACAGTCAGAGAATCACCTTCCAAATGAATGTTGGTTAGCCCCAATTCTGTTGCAAACTCCAGCGCCTTGACAGTCGCAAGGGCTTCAATACAATCGCTCTCCAACCATGTCGGGATTTGTTCCGAGAAGGCAGCTATCGGCTCACCATTCTGAGCACGAATGATGACCCCCACACCACATGACTGCTGATTTTTGAAGGTGGCCCTGTCAAAATTCACCTTAACAAAATCCCCTACCGGCGAACTCCACTTGTCCAGACCACAGCCACCATGAAGACCCTGCATATTAGCTTGTGCCATTCTAAAATCTTGCAGCAATCCACATACCATCTGAATAGTTGAAACCGCTGGTCGCTCAATACTAGTGAATATGGTTGCATTCCGAGAAGACCACACACCCCAACAAATGGCAGAAAACAACTCCAATGTATCTACATCAGAACTCCTCCCAATTTCATATGCCCAACTCATAAAATCAAGACCAACTCCCTTATCTAACATAAACATCAGCGGGCTGTGATGCCACACCTCCTGCGCCATCGGACAGCCCCACAAACAATGCATTAATGTTTCTGGCCCATCACCACAGCAAGTACATGTAGCGTCCGATATCAAATGC